ATATATATTTTAAATATTGGCTTTTTCCAGTAAGCTATCATGTTTAGTGTACAATGAAAGTTTTAATATTATAGGTTAAAAATTTAATTGTTCTCTTCTATTTGCTTGCCAAGGATGAGTGAAAGAACATGGCTGCTTCCCCCAGACTGACTGCCTTGGCATTCACGTAGAACATCATTGTTTCCAAAACTGAAGGGTGCTTAATTGTTCCCTTTTCTCTGTATTCTGTAGGTCTCATAACAACAAACTGCAGTCTACAGCTTCTTAAAGTTCAGCGTGTTAACCTAACATAAAACACAGCAAGAATCTGGTTGTCTGAACTATTTTAAATTAAGGAGCCAGATGTTTTTAGTCAGGTTATCCTGACAAGACTTGACCTAAACTTCATTTTTATTGGTCATAACAGTCCAATTATATTCTTGGCCAATTTTGTCCAACGGTCAAGGGAAAAGCAAAGTCAACGACACCATTATCTTGTCAAGATCAAATGGTTTTACTATTGTGGCAGAAGCGGGAAAACTGTTTATTGAAAAAAAAAAAAAAAAAGAAAAGAAAGCAAGAAAAAAAAAGATACTATGGGGTCAAGTGTAACTCCATGGAAATGCCACGTCTGCTCTTCAGTGAAGAAGCTGGTTTAGAGTCTCACAGAAAACTTTTGACTGTATTTATTTATTGTTGCAAAAAAAAAAAAAAAAAAAAGACGCTTTTTTATTGCTGCCCTCATTTGTCAGCTAATTATTTTTTCTTATAAAATCCAGCCCCGGTTACATGTAATCCATCCTGTATCTTATCATGATTCCTGAAGGTAAAAGTACAAGACGACCTCTAGATGTCTTTTCTTTCTATGAAAGGAGCTGCTATGTACACATGTGCACACACACACAACTGGGAATCAACAATGAGTTTATTATTCATGGTAGACAAAAATTAAGCTTGCAGAAAGGTTGGACTGAGTGGTCCTGGACTACAGACTCTGTTGCCTTGATATACCAGTACAGTTTGTCATTTACTCTGCACCAGGCTAAAATGAGCAAAATCTATTTGAAGGTATCTTGTTTGTAAACATTTGTCAGATTCTAATTTTTTCTTTTTGTATTAAAATTCAACTATGGATGTATATGAAACAAAATAAATGGAGATAATTTTTCTCCCACAGACGAAGGTGTCTTTGAATGTGCGCAATGATTATCTGTAAGCCTCTGTGGGAAATGGGGGGGGGCTGCCAGTTGAGAAAGACAGAAGGCTCTAATCAGATGGGTTTCTCTAGGACAGCAGTGGCCCTTTGTTTTATAATTCCCAGTTTGTTGTCGCCCTGTCAGAAAATCTCCAGGGTGCTAATCCTGTTGTATTGCACCAATGATAAGGGTGATATGACACAGTACACGTTGCCTTTCCTCTGTACTTGGTATGATTCCAGGCAAATGACCCTTTACACATAGCTACTTATATTGTATGAAGGGCATTTTTAGATGACCCCATCCTCTGTATTTTTTGTTTGTTGGTTGAGTTTGTTTGTTCCTTGTAAGGAAAAGAAGGTGAGGAGTAGGGAGAAGATGGAACCCTGGAATTTAGGTGTATTTTGCATGTTGTTCCTTTCAGTGTTCTAACCTTACACATGATATTACTGCATTGTAACAATGGCTTCTCTAATGTCTGCCAGAGTTGGGTTATGCAGCTTTGCAAAATTTTTCTAATTTTGCACTAATTCATATTAGCTTTGTCCTACCAAGTTCTGGAACTTACCTAGTTATTGTTAGTTAAAAGTTTCCTTCTGTTTAATGTTGCCCTGCTATGCAAAATCTTTCCCAGACCAATTTCTTAAAAGAAAGACATTGCTATAGAGTTCCCAGTTCTTTCTTATTACAGGCTCAGGTGGACAGGTTGTTCTGGGGTAATTTTGTCTGATGAAGCCCATTCCTTTTTGTGCATAAAGACATCACTTAAACCTATCTTTACAAACTAAAGAGACTAACTGCTCAATATGGAAACATGAAAACAAAAGTTTCTGCTTAAAATATTAAGATGGAAGTAATTAAATACAAGTTATTTTGTCCTTTTAGTTTTTAAAAAATGTTACATATGTATGCACTGTGCTGATGCAAGAATTCTACATTTTAATGAACTATGAAGTTATTCTGCATCTCATCATGTCACAGTATTTCTGTAATATTTATTCATATACATATATATAAATATATATGAGCTTAATCATTTAAAACTTGTTACGGCAAGAACTTTCCTACCTGTAGGCAATAGATTGCTATGTTTTTAACAAATTGTGGCAAATTCTAAACAGCAATTCTTTTTGTACGTAATAGGACATTTCATCCTAGAAAAATAAAGTAATGTTTTTGACATTGGATTTGGTGCAGTTTCTAATGAAACAGTGGTTGGTTGGTTGGTTGATTGGTTGGTTGAGATATTTTCTAAAGCTGTTGGCATTGCCATATTGTACAAAAAAAGGTAAATTTTATGAAAACCCTGAGACCAGGAAGATGTTAATTTCATATGTGTATAATGATATAAAGCCTTTTGCAATTTCTATCACCATATAAATACATGAAGACATTTTATAGTTTTACCAACTATAGAGCTTTAGTCTTTCCAAAGTAATTTTTGAAAAACATACATTCTTATTTCAAAAGCTGCTTTTCTATGAGTATACTTTGACAAGCTTCTACTACTCAATAAAATATTAAACTATTTTGCTTTCAGTAATCAAAGTAGTATAATGCATATTTGTGATACTGTTAGGATGTTTCTATCCCAGTCTTTAGGCCTGTAAATATACTTAATTTGCATCAACAGATTTCTTTGGCTAAAAGTATTTTCAATGTTATGCTCTATCTGCCAAGTTTACAGTCCTGGAAACCATTTCACAAAATGTATTTTCATAATATTGGTAATGCTTTTTTTTCCTATCCAAATTATGTGGGATTTGTATATAATGTCCTACAGTAGGTTTAAAAAAAACTGTGAACTTTTGGAGCTACTTTCTAAAGTAGAACAGTTTTTTTGTATTTCAAGTGGCCTGGAGTGTTATTTAGAGACCCTGAGACATGCCGTTATTTGTAACCTACCTTCCTAGAATCTGCAAATAAAAGTTCTTTCCCAATTCCTGTTCATTCCTGTCAGGCCAAATCCTGGCTTCTTTGTTGTGTTTCCCATATTAAAGAGCCAAGTGCATTGATGCCAGGTGCATTGGCACACCCCTGTGATCCCAGAGACTTGGGAGACCAAGGCAGGAAGTTCACAAGATCAAGGGCAGCCTCAGCAACTCAGCAAGACCCTATCTATCTCAAAATAAAAAGGGCTGTGGGTATAGCTCAGTGGTAGAGCACTCCTGGGTTTAATTCCCCGTACTGCCCCCCGCAAGAAAAAAAAATTGAAGCCAACTCAGTGATCTTTTAAAATGTCTACACGCGATGGAGTTTGACAGAGCTACCTGTTGTTAAAGTCACTCTTCTCTGCTCAAAGCTGTTCCCCAGAAGTCTCAGTTCTCTAGTCCTTAAATTGTGAATGGTAATACATCATGGGCAAAGTAATGAATTCTGAGTATTTAGGGGGAAAAGGCCAGCTGAAGTATTTTTAATAATTTGAAATAGAGTGAGGCACTTCTAAATACTTAGAATAATATACGAAAAAGACATTTCTCAGAAGATCACACCACTTGATCCAGTTTGGACCAAATTCTACTAAAGAAATATGCCATATTTTTCAAATGATAAAGGCCTGCTTTATCTAACATACTTCTTGTATGCTCAAATATGTTTTGAAATAGAGGTTTTGCACTGTAGGTGGCACATCAGTTTTTAAATGTTTGCATATATGTGTCCTTGGTAAACTTGGGGAAAAAAAAGTTTAAGATGAGGGACAGGGATTGTGACTCAGCAGTAGAGCACTTGTCTAGCACATGTGAGGCCCAGGGTTCTATCCTTAGCACCACATAAAAATAAAATATTGTGGGGCTGGGGTTGTGGCTCAGTAGTAGAGCACTTGCCTAGCATGCATGAGGCACTGGGTTCGATTCTCAGCACCAYATACAAAATAAATAAAATAAACGTTCATCAACAACTAAAAAAAATATTGTGTCCCAATACAACTAAAAATCAATATTTAAAAAAAAGTTTAAGATGAACAGTGCCAAATAATACCTTCAAAGGACAGTTTTTAAAAACTAGTACCCCAGAAAGAAAAAAATTCATGTCTTGTAGATCTTTCCCTACTAAAAGAAAAAACAAGTACTTTTTTCCCCCCTTGAATTCTAAAGTAACAGTTTAATTTGGAGGAGGGTCACCATTGAATTACTCTTGAAGGCAACTGAGTATTTTATTGATGAGGGACTATTATGTGTGCACATAGGCACAAAGGGCTCTTCAGTCTTTGGAGCACAAAGCCATGTTCTAAGAAAAATCTATCAATGGGATAAGAGGATTAGAAACTACAATGAATTCATTAAAATTTTCCATCAAATTAAAAGATTGTATTCAAGTCCTGACTGGATATTGAAAAAGAGATTCTACTTTGTATTTTGCCCAACCTGGAATTCCCAGTCTGTTCTCCACTGTCTCCTCTTCATGTCCCCAGCCCACTGCCATTCTACCTCAGCTGTGCCTCACTACTCCATGAATGATGGCCTTAGTTTTTATCCAGGCAGTCTCAAATTCTGGCCTGCATGTTTTTCTGGGATGTACATTATTAGCTGTGTGACCTCCAAATGTCACAAATATCAGGGCTCTTGCATTTTTTTTATATTTCCAAAATATTTCATAAATAGTGTTATCAAATCAAGCTAAGTCAAAACCTAACTAAGGTTTATGTAAAAGTGATTTTTATCTATTTTATTTACTATTGTGTTTGGTTTGGTTTTGAGACAGGGTCTAAGTTGCTTAGACAGGCCTCCAATTTGTGATCCTTCCACCTCAGCCTCAKGAGCAGCTGGGATTACAGGGTGAGCCGCCACACTAGGCTTTTTTTTTCTCTTAAACTAGGACCACTTATAAGTTTTGTCTTAAGTCTGACCATTTGGTATATTATTCTAAGTATTTAGAAGTGCCTCACTATTAGATAACTAATAGTTTATCTATCTGGCTATATTGGAATCTTCCTATCATGTTCCTTAAATAGTCTTCTGACAATTAAAAATTTGACTTGACTGACAGTATTTTATGACTGAGTGAATTTTATCTTAAAACTTAATTCGTTAGCTGTTTACTCTAATGCCAATAGTTATGTAATAAGGAAGTTATTCCCAAGAAATTCTGGTAAATTTTTTAATACATTTGGGCAAGACTCATTTTGGAGAAATTATCTAAAAGTCCCTCAGTAATATCAGAACCTCTATTTTCACCTCTAAGGCCATGTTTGAGGCAGAAGTATGAGATATTTCGTTTTACGTGATTGCTACTTGCTTCCTTGTCAATTCTCCAGTGCCCCATCTTGGACATCCTTCAGATATATAGTGCTTCTCGGGCCATTAACATTGGGAGCTCCCTGAGCAAGTCACCTTGAGACCAAACAGTCTGCCTTTCTCTGCAGTGCAGTTCTTTCTTTTGGCAGGAAACTTCATGCATATTGTTGTCTGTGTTCACAATGCTTCAAGTTAACTGAAGGACAGCTCAATCCTCCGAAAGAAATTGCTATTGGACTCAAATATAAATATCATTATTAAACTTAGCCTTTTTCAAACCGTCCAGAAAATGTTTAAAATTCACTTGCTTGTGAGCTGTCATTGATGGAAATTGGTTTCAGGGTTTGGGGACCAAGTTTGAAACAAATCTTTTTCTCAAACCTTTTGGCTTATGCAGGCTAAAAAACCCAGGTGCATCCAAGATCTGATTTCAAGGCAAGATTTACTGCTTTACAAACACAAACATGATACTTGGTCTTAATAGAAAAATGACATCAGATACATCCAGAATACATTTAGCAGTGGAATAGCTGCCAGTTCAGCACACAACATAAGTTATTGGGAACAGTGAGGCATGAAAATATACTATATCTTACATTTTGGTACATCAGGAACACTTGCTTTGAATACTATTTTGCTTGAATTAAGCCCTTTAGTACTCTGCATATGTAACATTTTAATACATGTCCTGAGCGCTGACCTAGTGTTTGATCTAAATGACATTTCATACATAAATGTCTTTTGACTCGTGTGCTTACTGTTATGTACAGTTATAAATGTGATGATTTGAGTATAAAATTTGGTTTGATACATGATATAAACTATTGAAAGTGTATATTTAAATTTAAGAAATGTTTTTTTTTGTGAACTATTTCTACTGAAGAATGTATTAAATTAAAATAATTTAAAAACCTAACATGAAGCAGTGATCTGTTAACTGGACAGGTCAGGTATCTGAGCTAGGTGAATCACTGTCTGGGACTACATTTGAATAACTGCCCTTGAGCTCCATATATACCATAAGAGGCATTTTGTAAATAACAAAGTGACAATGTGAAGATTAGAGCTGGAACTGTACAAATAGTTCATAAAGTAGCYGTAGGCCCAAACTGTAAAGAAAGGCCCCATTTCATAAAGATAGACCTTTGATGTCTTTTTCAAGTCTCCATTGCCCTCCATCAATGCCGGGATGGGTGGTTTCAAATGCACTGGGTGTGAACTGCACTTTGAACTTGCCGATCCCTTTTCCGGTTAAACCTTTTCACATAGCTGCTGCTGCTCCGGAGCAGTCCATCTCCTGGCCGCAGCCGCCCTCTGAGAACCTGGAGCAGAGCTGTAGGGAGCTGCCGTCTCTTGTGGTAGATGTGGCCCATCACAATATACCTGCTGCCTGAACAAAACAACCAGAACATCAGTTAATGGTGGCTTTAGGTGCCATAGAAAGACAAGAAATGCCTGAGTTTGAATTTTATTATCTTGCTGCACATGTTGAAATCATGTAACCTACCGGCCACACGTGGGGACAGTCTAAAGACCTTTAGGAAATAGCCAGGTAACCTGTAAACAGCGGACATTACAGAACAGAGGTCCTAATCCCAATGCATGGGGCCAAAAGAAGCAGTTCTGTCTTATCCCTTCTGGGAACAATGTTATTCACTCCACCTGCTGATGTATTTAAGGGCTTGCTTCGTGCCAATCCCTACTTGAATTTAATCCTTTCGCGGGGCATGGGGGGTCTTAAATCACAAGAGGTCGAAATTATAACCTGTCATCCAAATTCTATTAGTTACAGTATCCCCAAAAGAAGGTACAAATGGCAGAATAGAGTACGTCTATGAAGCGGTCATTTAGGTCAGTTTCAATACCAGGTTTAAATTCTGGACATGGCTTATTGCAACTGGAGGAATCTAGGGCTAATACGTGGACCCTGAAGAAAAACCCGTCCGGAGTGATGTACAGGCGGTTCATCTTGTACAGCCCGTCCTGGTCCACCAGCAGAGTCACCAGCCGGATCCCCGTGCCGAGCACGTCCACATCGTGCACGATTCCGTTCACGGCTGCTTTCAAAACAGAGTTTGGAGAAAAGCATTACAGCGACTTCCTCTCATTGCCCCGCGCGACTTTAACAAATCACGAAATAGCCCAAAGGGCCGGGCGGGGCCTCTAGAACGTGCGGGTGGGTTTCTCTGGGCTCGGAAAGGCTCGCCTCGGCCTGGGACCGGCTCACCGAATTCGCTCTCGCAGTACGACTCGCGCTCGTCCAGGTCCGCCCTGCAGGCGCGCGCGCAGAGCTCGGCGCCGGGCTCTGCTTCCCTCGGCGGTGGCGGCGGCGCGGGAGCGGGCCCCGGGGGCGGGGCGGCGCGCGGGCGGTTGGGGTGGGTGGAGCCAGCGGGGGCCTCGGCGGCGCGAGCGGGCGACCGCKCGGCCGGTAAGCGCAGGGTCCGGGCGCGGGCGCGCGGGGAGTCTTCCGGCGCGGGCGCGCGGCGCGGCGACGCGCGGTTCTCGGCCTGCCCGAGGCGCAGCCCCGGCGGCCCGGCCGGCGCGCGCGCCGCCTCCCGGAAGCCGGCCCGGTTCTCAGCGGGCGGCGGGGGCTTCCGGCGGCGGGGATCCGGCCAGGCGCGCGGAGTGTCGTCCGCCGCTCGCGGCCGTCGCGGGGCCTCCGGGACCTGCTGCACCTGGGGTCTGGGTGTCTCCTCCGTGCTCGCGCCGCCGCTGGGGTCGGGCTTTCTGTTGTGTGGCGGCGAGGCTGCGGGGTGCAGGGAAAGAAGTCGTGAGGGGAAGCCTGGGGCCGTGGGCGGGGAAGAGAGAAGACGGGCCTGGAGCGGAGGGAGGATCCCTGGGGGCAACCGAAGGAAGGGCTCCGGGAAAGGAGGAGACTGGGGACGAGGGAGAGTTCACAAGCACCTGTAAGAGCAGAGGTGGGGAGGCCCAGAGAACTGGAAGTGATGGAAAGAGAACCAGGAGGACGCCCCTGTGGTAAGGGGAGGGACACGTTTCCTAACCCTCAAAGGAAGGAAAGGGGGGTCTTGCCGTCTAATGGGGCCAACTAAGAAAATTTTGCAAGCACCGTCTAGGGAATCGGAGGCCTGATTGCAATGTTCTCTTCTGTTAAGGAACCTTTTCAAATCTATAGGTTTTCAAATTACAGCTTTCTATTCTAGAATTCAACATTTTTTATAGCATTAGTTAAATAGCAATTTTTTTTGCCCATATGTGTGTGTGTGTGTGTGTGTGTGTGTGTGTGTGTGTGTATGAAAACATCCGGCTTTTTGCTATTTACAGTTTGTTGAGAAAGTACCAAGAGCAAGCCCCAGGGGGAAAGTCTCATGTTACAGGTTCTCCTAATTGTTTAAGCGCCCCTGACAACAGAACTATTTGGTTTTCCCATCCGTATTTACACTATCCTCTGGGTCTCTGCAGAATCAAGCATTTGTGAGTGGATTTTTATCTGGCTTCTTGGACACCACTTACTGGTAAACCACAGCTTAGAAAGGGTTTTAAAAGCTTGACTGGGAGGCAGAGAGAGGACCCTAGTTAAGTGTAAAAGCACACATTGCTTCCAATTTTCTCCCCATTAGATGGTGGAGAAAATCTCCTCAATGGTATGATATGAAGATACACTTTTTAAATTATTAATGATTTTTCTCCAGCTCTACAGACAGGTCAGTGAGCAAACCTCAGCCAGCTTGGAAGCTGGGCAACGTTCCATGCCCAGTTACACAACATCAACCCCCCCACCCCCCACCCCCGCCCTTTGCCTGGGTCCCAGTACCCTCCAATCAGACACAAGAACTGGGAATCAGTCTTAATTTTCCCCTCCCTTTGCATTAAAGAGCTTGATCTGCCTATTTGGAGCCCTGGCAATACTTTATTTAAAGTGATTTATCTTGCCAAATTGATAATCTCCTTTAAAATCAGGTTTTGCCCAACAATAATGGCTGGTTACAGTTCATGTTTCTGCAAAGAGGTTGATTCTGACTCACTCTATTGGAAGGGTGTATCCTGCACAGCTGAATAAAGTTCTGGTGGATGTCCAGTTCCTGACTGTCAACTGTTGACCTCACAACTACTTCCCCGTTGATATCACCATCTGTTGTCATGGGAAAGATGATCTGATATTTGGGTTAAATGCCACTGAAGTCATTCATCTCCATTGGAAAAATAACCCAAAGTAAATTGCCCTGTGAGGTACGGAAGGTATTTTTTCCCAGAGATAACGCAGCGAATAGAGCATCCAGATAAAAGCAAAACAAAAACACTATTCTGCAGAGAACGCCTGGTTTCTTCATTTCCCTCAGTAACAATTTCATGTCATGCATGAAATGTGAGTATTGTGTCTTAAAAACAAACCCTGGCTCAGGTGTCCCAAGSCTATTCGCCGGGGCTGCGGGGAGAGGGGACAAGTGCTGTCGGACCTCCGCTCGCCTTCACCTTCGCCCCAGCCCTCCTGGGCGCACCCGGCGCGGTGCCCACCCACGGCACCCGGGCGCCGGCAAGGCGGACCCCACGCTCCTGGGCGCCCTGCAAGCCCGGCCCGGGCACGGCTCCCAAAAGGCGCGCCACGACCCCTTTTGACACTTTCCCTCCTCTGGGACGGAGCAACTACTTAACATGCAAAGTTTTCTCCAGCCTGCCTGGCTCGCCCTGGACCGTTTCAGTAGTTGAACCGGCTTCTCTCCAAAAAGGCCGCCAAGAGACACAATCTTGGGGACCCATTTTACCCCCTTTCTAACACGCACACAGATCCGGAGTCTCCCCCTCTTGCAGGCTCCGACCCCTTCCTCGTCCCGCCCTTGGTCCAGTCCTCTCGCCAGTCCCCGCCGGATCCCTGCTCCTCTCGCAGCGCTCTGCATTTCAGCGATCCTACCTTTTCTCTCCGCCACCGGGGCTTCGGGGGATGATCCCACGATCAAACAGAGAAGCCAAAGGGCTCTAGCTGTCATTTTTGTAGACAGGGTTCCCAGGCTCTAACATGAGCCAGGGCTTTGGCTTGCTTTCTCTCCCCCCACCCCTGCTCCACACCCCCACCCCCGTTCATGCTAATGAGGGGCAGCCTTTGGGGAAACGGGCATCGCCGGCTGAACAGACCATTGGAACAAAACCGAGCAGCAGGGATCTCTCCCTCTTCCTAAGGGGGACGAGCACATGGCCTTTCGAAGTTGTCCCTGGCAAGGTCTGTCCTGGGATCTGTGCGCAAAGATAACATCATATCCTGAACTTTGAACCCGGGTGGGTTGCAGGCTGGGATGGGGTGACAAGGGAAGAGAGGGGGCTGAGGGACAAGGTAGGGGAGAATGAGTGATGGGAACGTTTTTCTAGATTTGAGTCAACAACTAATAGAAAATCAGTGCTTGAGACAGCTCTGGCTTGTGGAAGGAAAGAGATGCCAGAGGACAGAAAATACATTCCAGAATGTGTGAGGCGATTCCCAGAGAAACCAAGTCACTGCCTCCCAGGTCTGCTGATATGCAATATCGCTATTTCAGAACTGGAGGGGGAAAGCCCTSGACAAAATAGTTCCCCTCTCTCTCTGCCTCCCGCCCTCTCTTCCTTCTTCCCTTGATTGAAATTGGTATTTCAGATTTATCAAGTGCTTCCTGAGTGGCTTTTACCTGCTAAGTACTAGGAGACAAAGCTGAGAAAAACACCTTCCCTGCACCCTGGAAAAAGGTAGAGATTTTTATTCTTTCTAAGGAAAACCCTTATTCACTGCTTAGGTCTGATTAAATGAGACAGCACTACTGTAAGTTGGTCCTGAGCTAAGGGGACTTTCCCTTGGATTGGACAGAAACCCAAAGGGAAAACAAGGTCATCAGAGTAAATCCCCAGCCTCACTGGGGTTGTCCACAGCTTCAAATTGCAATAGAAAGAGATGGAGGAACTTTATCTGAAGTGCAAGAGCCAACAGAGAGGCGCAGCTGCTAAAACAGAAAACAAACTTGCTGCACCAAGAGCTTTTGTCTCAGAAGAATAGTGCTAGTGGACCGAACAGATTCTGGGGACCATGTTCTCAAAAAAGACACTGGGAAGCTAGAGGAGAGCCAGAGGGTGGTGTGAGGACAGGATCTCATTCATGTTCAAGTTCTTGTGGAGGGACTCAGGATAGGCAGCCAGGGTACACAAAAGCACTGGTTTTGTCCTGTGAATGTACCAGAATGAAGGAGTTGTGAAGTCACTGGCTTAACTTTAGCTTAAGAAAGAATATTCTTGAACTGGAGATGTAGCTCAGTGGTAGGCACTTGCTTAGCCTGAGCAAGGGCCTGGATTTAATCCTCCATACCACCACCACCACAACAACAACAAAAGAAAAAAGAAAAGAAAAAAAAAAATTCTTACCATCAAGGTCTCCAACAAAGCAGATGGCTTAAATAAAGGGTTTGTGGCAATGAACTACCCACTGCTTGGGAACTCCAAAGAGGAGAATGTCAGAGATAATGCAGAGCAAGCAGGTTCCTAATGGGTGTGTTTGAGGTTTGAGGGTATAGTGTGTTCAGAATGGTCATCTAGAAGGAGACTCCGGAGCTGGGGGTGGRGCTCAGTGGTAGAGCCCTTGCCTGGCATGCACAAGGCCCTGGGTTCAATCTCCAGCACAAATAAATTAATGATAAAGTAAAAAATGGAAGACCTGGCTGCTTTCTGCAGCTCAACTCAATTTGGTTAATGGACTGACTGATCAAGGGCCCGAACTCTTAAAAAAAAAAACAGATGCATAAACTAGACTATCATTTATTAATTTGGCATGGAAAGTTTACTGTCAAAGCGAGTCACAGGTATAATTATGAATCAGAAACTTGCCTCTAAAACACTAAATCAGATCACACCTGAAGGAGGAGTCAACTAATCTTCTCTCACTCAAGTGCAAAGGAGCACATTTTTTCTATTTCTTCCAGAAAAATGTCATTACTGCAAGTCCTGTGTACACCAGAGTAGTCTGTGTTCACACTCCATGAGGGCAAGATAAACACAGGCAGCTTCGGGCTCTTGGGGCCCAGATTATCAATATTCTCACATTGTATTTTTCCAAATTCATTCTTTCTTTCTTTCTTTCTTTCTTTCTTTCTTTCTTTCTTTCTTTCTTTCTTTCTTTCTTTCTTTCTTTTCTTTCTTTCTTTCTTTTTAAGCCAAATGGAATACAAGTAATTAGGTTTCAACTTTCTCGATGACAACCGCATCTCACACATACTTTTATGAGATGATGTTCAAGTCACCCAGATCCAATCTGGGGTGTTCCTGAAACTCTGCTGTGGCAGCCATGTTCTGAATGCCCCGAAGCCACTCCCTGAAATACAGCAACAAAGAGAGAGCAGCATAGCTCCCAGGGCAGCAGTTGGAAG